GAGCAGGCCCATGCCGGCGCCACCATAGCTCCATCCAGCACTGCTTTTTAACATGCTCCTGACCCCCCTGGCCCTAGGGGAGGCTCTTCTCCCATGACAACTGCCTAGGCAAGGTCCAGCTATGAAAAGACAAACGGCAAGAGCCGATCACCACTTGGGACACTCGTTGGAAGACAAAGACAGGCCCATGGGGATTGAATGTTTCAACGCGCCATCGAGCCGCACAGCCTTGCGCCTGCAGCACGTGAGCTGACGAGCGGCAGACGGGATCGCTACTTGGGGGGCTGGCCCCACAGCACAATTCGGGCTGCCGCCTCTCCTGGCGAGCGCAGCTCGTTCCCTGATTGCTGAACACCGGGAAGAGCGACCTAGACCAAGGGAATCAACAGAAAGCCCTGATGGCTGGGGCGGGGGGTTGGAATCTGGGAGGTGGTGCTGGAGTGTCCATGTCTGCCGGCTGTTGGGCAGACAAAAGGATTCACTACTCATTATGCTTTAGGAGGGCTTATAGGGATTTTTTCACAGCACCTAGTAAATAATTTACCAGAGCGGAGAGCTCTCTGCTGTTGCATCCAGAGTCTCTGGGGACTCAGCAGCCCCTCCCCACATCCTTTAAATCCTTGGTACAGTGGCAGCTTAATTGTCCTGAGCTCCCCTTCCCCAAAAGGGCTAGTGAAAGCCATGGTGCACGGGCCAGCCCCTACAGCCCCTGTGTTTTACTGACGGATTCACAGCTCCTCTAAGCAGCAGGGCTTTGGTTTTACAGTGTTCCCAGTCCTGCAGATTCATGCCAGGGTGAAGCATGGACAGAGAGGCAAGAGACCTAGGGGTTATTTTTAAAAGCTTTCAGGCTGGCAGCGGTACTGTGAGCACACACCCTGCCAGCTCTTATCCAGCATCGTACCAGGCTGCAGCCTCAGGAGGGTTTACTTCTGCTTTAGACAGGAGGGGTTTTCCAGAAAGTAACTCCCAGAGCAAAAGTGAAGCCCAAGGGCTCCACCCAGCCCCCTGGGAATTGGGGCGTTGGCTCAAGGACCTCCTGCATCAGCCCTTTGGGGCTCTTCTCGTTAAAAGAAGTGCCTTGAACGGTGGCAAATGAAACATTGGGAGGGTTAAAAAAAGATGCACAAGCCACCTCAGAAGGCAGAGACACGGGATGCTACAAATCCAATGCAGTCTGTTTTTTTAATTTCAACCTTAAGTCTTAGGACAAGTGATCCCAGCTCCCCAAGAACTGGCCCAGAACTCAAGCATCTCCCCGCCGGGTCATGAATCTTTTAAAAACATACATCATAAAATAACTATCGCATGGGACGTTTTATGAAACAGGAGGGCAAAATTCCCTGGGGATCCGCTTTCCCCAAACCAAATTCACAGATTTAACCCATATCCCAAAGAAGTGTGTCACGGGGATTTTTGTCTTTTTCTGCCATCTGCCCAAATATGGGGACAAGCAAAGCTAAGCAAAGCTCATCCTTGTGGCTGGGTTTTGCACACACACCCCGGGGAAGGGGCCCCGGAACACACCCACCAGCTCCCAGCCATTTTTGGTTACAGAAACACCACCCAATTCCCCCAAACTCCCAGCGAATTGGAATGGGGCTTGCTCTCAGTTTGGAGAGTGCCAGGAAGACTTATGGTGATTTTCATTAATAATAAATAATAATTAATTTACTCTAAAGAGAAAATAACCCTGAAACTCACCAGCACGCCAAACAGTTTGCAATGCACACAGGAGGGGCTATTCATTTGCCTTTAGTCCAGTGGCTTGCCAGACCCCCTTGCCCTCAGTCAGCCCTGGCACTCTCCAGCTTCCCCTCTCACTAAGGATAGACCCTTTTCCCGGGCCTGGTTCAGACTTACATGTCCTGCCAAGGCCTCTTCCCCTGAGCAGCCTTTCTCAGCCTGCAGTGAGACAGCCCAGGAACTGTGCAGAACAGCGCTCGGTATGGCAGTGTGCAGCCTGCCCTGGTTGCAATGCAGCTGTTTCCTCTCCTCCGGTGGAGCAACGTCACACGCTCCAGAGCCTTCCAATCCGGGCTAGCCCTTGAGTGTCACCCAGGCAGGGGCAGAGGCCACCAGGAGAAGCATTGGTTTGCGCTCAGCGGCCCTCACCCATGGCACTATAGAAAGAACATGCACCAACAAACTGACATAGGTCACCCTCACTGAGAAAAGGCAACAGGGTTCAGAGAAATAATCCAGCTCCTGCCCCAAGCTGATTTACTGTCTCGCTGCACCAGTGGGAGCAGAGCTCAGCAGCAGCAGCTCATTCTACACACCAGGACGTCCAGGACAAGAGCAAAGAGAGCGATAAGTTGGGTGCCTCTCCAGGCTGCAGAGATAGAACTCCAGCCCCCACGTGTCGGGCCCAGCATGGTGGGAAACGCTAGCCCCGGTGGTTTTCACAGCAGCCATATGCCACTGCCCTCAGCCTCATGATGTGCATTATGTGGCACGTACTGGAGTGAATGCTTATTTCAGTTTTATGGCATGAGTCTTATACCCTCTTAATACACGAGCATTTAACACAATTAAGTCCTTAAAATATAGATCAAACTGTCTGTGCCACCCCTGAGCTACGTCCACCAATGACCGTAATGCAATGATCCCCTCTGCCCCATCAGCTCATTCCTGACCCTCGTTCAGGGGAAATCGCAGGCTGCAGGAAAATTAACTAAGGAAGCCGGACTCTGACCCACTATGGAGGGAAGCAAGTTTTGGGGCTTCAGGGAGAATGCCCTGCCCCTTTTGAACTATGGGGGCTCCCATCTCAAGCACCTCTATGGTGACTCGCGGTGTGAGCATCGCGCCACCTGGGAGCGACTGAGAGGAGAGAGCAGGACAGTGGAGGGCCAGAGGGACGCATCCTCCATATAAGTGAGGAGAGATCTAGCAAGAGCCAGACCATATATGGTGCCTTTCCCTTGTGCTCTCTGAAAAGATAAAAAGCCCAATTTCTTCTCCTCTGAGAGAGAAGTAGCCTCTCGGGTCAGACACCAAGGAGGGTTTTCAGCCATTTGCAAGCACCAACAATTGGGCTTGATCATGGAAATACTAAGAGTCTTAACTTGAGGGTGGTCATAGCATACCCCCTGCCTGCAGGGTGACGTGCCAGGCCTGGGTTACAACAGGTCTGGGGTGGGTAGCTGGAACTCTGGGGCCTCCAGTTTTCAGTGTGTTGCACCTTGACAGTTCTAACTAAGCCCTCTGCCTGTGTGCTGTTTGCAGCAGCCATTTCCATCTCCAGGCTGCTGCAGCCACAGCGGGAGGAAATGTAGAAAGAAACAGCCTTATTGGGGATCCAGGAAGTAGCAGGCAGTTTCCTTGCTCAGAAATCCCCCTGTCTGCTGCTCCAGCATGCCCAAGAAGCTCCAGGTGTCTCTGCTTTCTGGCTCATGCTCATAGGTTGTTCTGCCTCCAACCAAATAGCCTACAAAGGATGCAAACCAACAGTCTACCCTAGCCCCTGCACTTGCCCCTAGGAAAACCCCTGTTAATCTACCTGAATTAGCTCCACTCAGGCCTAGCCATGCACTTTAGTGCCTCGGGCCCCAGCCGCCATCAGCTGTACCTGTTTTACTACCTACCCCTGGACTTTAATAAGGTCTGTGATTGGTCAAAGGCTCACCTGATGGCAGCCATTAGCACCTTTCAGCAGCACCTCAGGAGGGGGATAGTGGCTCCCAGAGCAGGGATTTTAACCCAACAATCCCGTCAGCATTGCCCTGTTGGGAGCTGAGGTCCATGCTCTAGTGGGGGCTCTGTTCCTGGCTGGCGGGACTTGCTCCAACATCAGAGGGCTCTTGGGTCCTACCAGAGAGAGACTCAAATGACGCGGTTAGCGCCCAGCCCGCAGCAGCTGTGTCGCGGGCCGTTGCCAGAGCTAACGCAAACAGCTAAGAGAGGGTCCCAGGCACCAGTCTGGCCATGCTCCAGAGAAGGGCAGGAAAAGATTCCTACTGAAATCGCTAGGGGCCTGATTCTCATTGACACGAAGGGCCTTCTACACCCCTCGAGTGGGGTAAAGAGGCCTGCCTGCTTTGAGGCTTCTCTATTGCCTTAGTGTCAATGAGAATCAAGCCCTATATTTCTTTCCAAGAAGTGTGTTCTGGGCCTGCTGCTCTTTATTGCACAGATAGCCCCTAGAGCGAGTCCATTTCTGAAGTGTTTTTAAAAGGGTCAACGACCAGCCCCTGGCTGTTTCTTTGGCACTTCCAGTCTATTTGCTGGTGTTTTCTCCTAGATGTAGGAAGCACAAGGGAGGAAACAGACGACAGTGCACACAATCCCTGCCTTGCACGTGCAGAGGGAGGTGCACGAGTTCATGCACAATTCTTTTGCCTGCAGACCTGTGCCCCCATTAAAGAAAATATTTGCTCCATCATGATCATGAACGGCCAGGAAATTGGTTCAGTCTCTTGTGAAATAGTGTGAACAAACTGATCGTAAATAGAGGGCTGGGGGCCATTTCTATATTTGAAACTGAAATGCATCACAGTTACAATAAACTCCAGGCCCACCTGTGCCACAACAACTGGTTTTCTGCCTATAAAAGCCAGGGCTGGTGTTAGGGGGTAGCAAGCAGGGCAGTTGCTTGGGGGGGCCTCATGCCACCGGGGGCACTGCAAAGCAGCTCAGGCTTCATCTTCAGCTCTGGGTGATGGGGCTCAGGGTCCCAGGTTGCAGTCCCTTGAGGCGCGGCTTTGGCTTTCTGCCTTGGGCCCGGAAGAGTCTAATGCCAGCCATGCTTGGCAGCCCCCCTGAAACTTGCTCATGGCCCCCTAGGAGGCCCTGGACACCTGATTGAGAACCACTGGTCTCGTGGATTGAGCAGTGGGCTGGGACTCAGGAAACGGTGGTTCTATTCGCCGCACTGCCACTGCATCGCTGGGTGACCTAGGGCAAGTCACGGCTCGCTCTGTGCCTCAGTTTTCCCACCTGCAAAATGGAGATAATGATAGCGACCTCCTTTGTAAAGCACTTGGAGAGCTGGGACGATGATGGTGATCATGGCTGAAGGCAACGGCAGAACTCACATTGACGTCAGTGGGGCCAGGGTTTCACCGTTAGTGATTAACAGGATGCGCTCAGGAGATGAGCGGCAGATCTTGTTTGCAAAGGGAGCACCCTGCCTGCTGTCGCCAGCCAGGCCTGCATGTGGGACGATACTGCTAGAAGGAATGCCCCCAAGTCCAGCTCAGAGCCTCCTGCCCCTATTTTCAGTGAAAGAGCAAAGCAAGAGCCATCTACAGCAGCACCACACATATGGCAACAGGGCCTTTGGCAGGGGATGGGCCCTATATTTGTTGGCAAAAAGTCTCCTATTTTTCCACTCTACTCTCAGACATGGATTTAGGATTCAAGCCGCCCAGCTGGAAAATTCACCAGGAGGTGCAGCAGTAGGGCCCTTGGAAAAGGATTCGTAAAGGCTCCTCCCCAGCAGCCCTATGCTCCTCCCCTACAGAACAGGAGTCAAGAGGGAATGAACAGAACAGGGCACTCTGGAGTTATCCATCCCTTGTCGTCAGTCCCAGCTTCTGGCAGTTGGAGGTTTAAGGGTGTGTAGAGCATGGGGTTGCATCCCTGACCATCTTGGCTAATCGCCATGATGGACTGATCCTCTCCGCAGAATACAAGTCAATGGGAGTGACTCAGCGTTGCCAACACGAAGCGTTCAAAAATCACGAGTCAGGGTCCCCAAATTAAGAGATTTGCTTAAAACTGATGAGATTTTTGTCAGTAATAAAGGTTGGGATCTTTTTCTTTGCCTGCTGGTTTCTGAGCCTTTTGGTTGCGCTCGCTACATGTTCTCAAGCTTTCCTCTGCATTGACGGGGGCTCGAAAGTTACTTGACTTTTTTTTTTTTCCCCAAAGAACAGTGGAGATTCTCCCGCAAGTTCCTGATTCCTGCAGCGGGGGCTTTAAGAGAAACACCAGAGCTCACCAGAGTTGGCTACACTGCGTATTAGGGGATGGGGTGGGAGAAATACGGCACCTGGTGAGGCGAGCACGTCCGTGAAAATCTATCCACCCCACTCCATCATGCTTTCAACCCAATGCGTGTCACTGAATTTTCTCTTCTGCGGCCTGTCCCTGTCCATCGCTTTCAGGTGCTGGCAGGTCTGACTCAGGTGCCCAGACATCCCGATATTAGAGGCTTTCTCTTATATGCGCAACTACACCCCGCTCTCCCCCTTCCAAAAAAAAGGGGGTCCTGATTTTTCACCCTTGCTATCTGGTCCCCCAAGGTCTGACGGTGCCTGACACTATCACCGGGCTCCTTAGCTGCCAGAGACACAGACAGTTCTCCCAATGGGAGCTTTTGTGTCAATGTGCAAAGGAGTCTCCCTCTGCCTCCTGCACTCCCCTGGACCCCAGCTGGAGAACTGCCTCCCCCACCCAAGGCAGAACAGCCAGCCCTGCGGTATGGCCTCTGGCCCGTGTGTCGGTCCACACTGCCACCTGCTGGCGCAGCAAAGCCCAGCAGCAACCCAAGGCATTAGCTCGATGTACCCCAGAGCAGGACTCCAAAGCAGTTTGGGGTCAGCCCGGGGAGCAGAGGATCACTGCAGATGAGTAGAGAGGAGCAGAGATGAACATCCCGCTGCCAACTTCCTGCTGTCGGCAGTTAGAGTGGCATCCTGGCAATCATCAGAACGGGCATCCTGGTGACAACCCCCAGCCGCTTCCCTGAGCCCATTTCCCTTCTCTCGCTGAGCCGTCGGGGCATGGTGAGAAAGGGGCAGAGAAGGGGGCAGGGCAGAGGGATCGCACAGCCTGAGGGACAATGCTGCTGGGAAAAGGTAGGGCTTTCCCTAGTATAAAAAAACGAATTGAATCCCTCCTCATCCCCATCCCCCACCTAGGATCTAACGAGACCCGTCCTAGTACTGACAGATTGGCATTGCTACTTCCCTGTGGACAGGTCACTTAGCTAGCATTGCCTTTTATCATTTGTATCGTGGTCACACGGAGAAGCCCCCGTCCAGCTAGGCGCTGGGCAAACACAGAACAAAGAGATGGGCCCTGCTGCAAAGAGCTAGCTATCTACGTACAGGACAAGAGACAATAGGTGGATACTGACGGACAGACCGGGGAGCCCAGTGAGACAACACTGGTCAGCAGGACAGGCAGCGGTCTGAGCACACCCATCAGCTGCCTAACCACTGTGGTTTTGTAGGCACCACAGCAGGGGAGCGCTTGAAGGAGGGATCTGAAGGACAAGGAGGGAGTTGGGTTTATAGGGAGCACAAGTTTCCTTTAGTTTGGTTGCTCCCCACTAGTCATTCCAATAACTCCCCTGGCCGTCACCCAAGCCTGGTTTTCTGGGTAACACAACTCCGTCTGCTTTGTATAACCCAGTTGGCTGGGGTGACAGTCACGCCTGTTGATGCGATTAGGTGCGTGAGGAGCAACTGCTCCTTGGAGATGGCTGCAGGAGACAATAAAAGCTTTGTTACAACTGCCAGGCTGTCCCCTTCTCTATGATGGAAAACAACATTTGTCTCCACCCCCTGCCCTTTTACCAGCTAGCACTCCACTCCAGCATAGCTTGGCCACGACAATTTTGCCGGGCACGCTCTAAGCTGGTGAGCGCGGCTTTTCACGACACAATCGAAACGGTACTCTGCAATCCGGCAACTGACTCTGTCAACCAGCAATGCCGAGGACTTACAACTGTGCAGCTGCGGTCTGCCCAGCTCCCACTGGATTGGTCCCCTGTACTTTCTGCTGCAGATTTTTCAGCCTTGTTGTATTTAGGCTGGGCAGAACTCCATTTTTTTTTTATATAATTTTGAAAGAACATCGATGTTTATCTTAATGTATCTTTTTCTCTTTTAGCAGATTTAAATTTTCACAGCTATGCAAAATTATGGGGGAGGTCAACATCGCACGTCAGCGTATCAATAGCCTCACGTCAAACTCGAATACGTTCTCAAGCAGCATCTGCCTTGTCTTGCCTATCTGTACGTTTTTATTATTATCGATGGAAACATTTTTTTGTTGGGGTGAGCGTGTGTACGGTGAAATCAACATTTACCCATAAAAATCTAGTCCTTCCAAGCCAGGTGTAATGCACACACAAATATTATTGTGCACATCAGGCAGCCCTCTCAGCCTCCTGACCTGCTTCTTCCTCCTCCCATAAAGTCCTCATTGATATGGTAGCTTCTGTAAGTAACCTAATGGTTTATTCTGGGGGCATGTGTTAAAGAAACAGGACTTCCAGTTTAAAAGCTTGGGGGTGGATGCATGGTCTTGTTGGTTCAACATAGACCTGGGAGACACAAAAGTGGGCAAAGAGAGTCAAGCATGGAAGAGAGCCCTGCTGTATCTTGCTTTAATGCAGGGATATGTGTTTAGCCTCCCAATGCTGGCATCTTTGCTTACCTGGCTGCCTCTCCCCAGGTACCTCCAGTGTCGCCCAGGCCTGGAGTGCCACATTTCATGAACTCCTCCACAAGAAGATGGGGAGGTTTTTTGGCACCTCCATGACCATGAGGTCTCTGGGACTAGCAGAGTATGCAGACATCTTCGCTGTCTGCCTCATCGTCATGCTGGCAGGTACAGTGTTTGCATTCAGCTTAGCCTGAGGCATCGGATTCGGGAGCTGAGTCTTGCTTTCAAAGCTTTACAAAATCGTGCCCCCTTCTTCATTGCTGTCTGCGTCCCCCATGTCTCCAGTCCTATCTACCCTCTTCCTTTACTGCCCCCTTTCTGCCATTCTCCTGCAATGCGTCCCCTGCACTTGGCCCCCTCTTTCTGTTCTTGTCTTCCAAGCCCCCCCACTCCATCCACCTACTTCTAGGAGCTCCCAACCAATAACCCGCCCTGCCCCTTCCTGAACGCTGGTCCTGTCATAGCTCTCCATGGCTCTCTTTCTCAAGGCAAGGAACCTGTGCAGCACAGTGTACATGTACAGCACTGGAAATGTGGGGTGAACCCTCGCCCCACTGACTTCAATGGGGCCAGGATTTCACCTGTGATCGTTGTTAAGACCAATAACAAAAAAACGATAATATAGCTTAAACAAGGGGCATTCCCTTATTGGATACAATTCACACGAATGCTTTCATATATTTGACCCTGTCTCTAAGAGGCAGACTGTCCAGCCGTACCCCAGGGGATGTGATAAACCTCGAGTCTATATGGGGTTTGGATAGGCTCAGTCAAAGGCTGCCACTACATCCTCAAATGGGCTGGGACCTTTATCCAAAGTGCCTTATGCCCTATGCACACTGTTAGGACTGGCTGGGGGGTTCCTGTGGCCAGACTCTAAGCATGCACCCGCCTTGTTAGGCAGCCGGTCACTCTGTCTACCTACGGGACTTATCTGCTCCCCCCTCCCCCACTGTGTCTGGGCACCGCACAACCCCCTGCACTCCTGTGAGGTAGGGAAGTGCAATTGCTTCCATTGTTCAGCTGGGGAACTGAGGCAAGGAAAGACTAATTTCCAGCTCTGGGAGACGTACCCGCATTAGCTCTGATCCAGCTAGCATGCTAACAAGAGCAGTGTAGTCTCTACAACATGGCAGGCTAGCCACCCTGAGTACAACCCTGTCTGAAAACCTACATGCATACTCAAGCGACGAGCCTGTCCCATTGTTCGCACCACTGCAATGCCACTGTTGGTTTTAGCCCGCTACGTGGGGGGTGTCTACCTGGGCTGGAATTTACAGCTCCAGCATGGACACTTAGCCATAAGTAACCTGCCCCCGGTCACAGGGGAAGCCTGGGGGATTGAAGCCAGCTCTAACCCCAGGCTAGCCCCCTGGACCATCCTTCCTCACCCCCCACCCCTTTCTGGAATTCACTCCTCTTCGCAGCCTGTCAGAGCTGGGTTTCATTTAGCATTCGGATGAGCTGGTTTTGCCTTCAGCCTTAGAAATGAGGCAAATACAGTGAAATGCTTGGGCCGGAGGTGCTTCCCATGCATGTCAGAGCCCTATGGGCCCCGCTTTCTTCACACCCCCCACTCCCAGCCCTCACATCACAATGGCTCTCCTGGCATCTGAGAGAGGAGGGGCCAGCTCTTCCTTCAGTGAACCTCTCGCAATGACGCCCAGGGGTCGCAGCCTGCTGCCAAGAGCCAGGGGGTCCGGTTTGCAAAACAGGCGTGTTTGTTGCAGCCAAATACTTCCGCTTATTTGACACTGTCAGTAACTGTCGCCTCTTGGGAGAAGCAGGCAGCTTAGCAGCATAGGTCTGTAACGTGTTCTGTGGATCCTTGCCGTGTGTGATGCAAACCAGCCACCCAAAGTGAGCATCTCAACACCCATTTAAAAGTGTCACTAACGCAGGTCGGACCCCCTGCACGTTCCAGTCCAGGTCCTCTAGGCCCGGCCCGGCCCATGTACCGCAGTCCTGGCCAGCTGCGTCTCTGCTATGGCGGTGCGACAGACTGCCGTGGTGTTTTCATGCACCCAGCAGAGGAGAGGTGAGATCACTCGTTCATGTTCACATACATGACTTGGGGCCTCATCCAAAGTCAATGGGAGCCCTTCCCTTAATTCAGTGGGCTCTGAAGGAGCATCTGAACTCAGCTTCCCAGAGAGGAAAGGCTCGTGTGCTCCCCTGTGCTCCTTTTGGGGTCTTTCAATGGTTCCTTTGGTAAAGACACACAGATCCCATATTCGGATCCCTTTCCATATGGTGGCACCTGGCCCTGATGCCCCGTGCGCCCCCAAGGGGACTGACCACCTGGGCGTGTTGCTCTTCTGTTTTGATTCCCCAGGGCTCCTTTCCTTTGGGGTGAAAGAGTCTACCACAGTCAACAAACTATTCACAACCATCCACGTGCTCTTCCTGCTGTTTATCACAGTGAGCGGGTTCAGCAAAGGGGACCTGAGGAACTGAAGGATGAGTGAGGATGACCTGCTGAGGGCCGCTGCCCACCAAGCCAGGTGAGAGCGTGGGTGGGCCGGCCCCAAGACCTCTGCATGCTTTAGAATCACCCCACAAGGAGGCCTCCCCTGAGAGCCAACCCCGGGTCTAAAGTGATTGTATGAAAGTGCCCCAACTGTACTTTCAAGTGCCATGTGGTTGGACATTTAGTAAAGACCCTGCCTGCAATGCAGCCCATATTTGCTGGGCCCATCGGTGAGGCTAGGATTTAGTCACGGGTATTTTTAGTAAAAGTCATGGACAGGTCACGGGCAGTGAACAAAAATTCATGGCCTGAGACCTGCCCATGAATTTTACTATATACGCCTACCTAAAATTTGGGTGTGGGTGTGGAGGCGGGGGTGCTCTGGGGGGGGCAGTCTGGTGGCGCTGCAGGTGCTGTGGGGGTGGCCCGGGACTCCCACTGGTGCTGGGGGCGGGGTGGACCTCAGCGCGCGGGCCGGGACCTCTGCTGGTGCTGGGGGCGGAATTTTGTCAGAGGCAGGCCCTCAGCTTGCCCCCGGTAGAGGTTCCCCCTGGCTGACTTCCTTTTTCTTCCCAGTAACCAATCCCTGGCTGGCAATAGGACCGGTGAGTTTGGAGTTGGAGGGTTCATGCCCTATGGTTTCACTGGGACACTGGCCGCGACCTGCTTCTACGCTTTTGTTGGGTTCGACTGCATTGCTACCACGGGTAAGTGAGAAGGGGAAAAATAAGAAAAATATTATCCCCATTGGACAAATAGGGAAACCGAGGCAGGGAAGGTCAGTGACTTTGCCCGAGGCCACGGAAGGAGTTGGTATAGGTGCCAGGATCAGAACTGAGGCATTCCCCAGCCCTGGGCCAAACCTGCCCGAACACACCCCTTGCTCTAACTGCTCGAGCGGGGAATGGGCCACACAGAGGCCTCGGATGTATTCAGGAGGCTGGCTAGCAGGAGGGGAAGGGAAGTCTCCAGTCAGTTACTTGTAGGTGCCACAATACTGCAGCTGCCAGCAGGGGCCATAGGCCCCAAAACAACAAGGATTGCTGATGCCTGCATTGACCCGCCAAGCGTGCCTTTCCAAGTGGAGGAAGTGAAGAACCCCCAGAAATCCATCCCGGCAGGGATCGTCATCTCCCTCTTGGGCTGCTTCCTGGCATGCTCTGGGGTTTTGGCTGCCCTGACTCTCATGATGCCGTACCACCTCTTGGACCCCAGGAGCCCACTGCCTGGGTGGAGCGTGGCCAAGAACGTTGTAGCCGTGGGGTCGCTGTGCGCCCTGGCCACCAGGTGAGAAGGGAATGAGGGGAAAGAAGCACATTGGGAAGAAGCTATTTTTGCTGAGTTTACCTCAGACTCATTCATGTTCCATAGGCCCAAACAAAGTTTCCTGGGCATCGATAAAGCCTTGGGTGAGCTTTAGGCCTTGTGAAAGTCAGAGATGGATAGAACTGGCTAGAGCCATGCCTGCTTCCCCTCCCAGCCCCAACTCAGCTCAGCCAAAGCACCCCCGTCATGACTAGCAGAACCCCTGCTTTTCCAGTCCTGGGCCCCAACAGAGCTCTGCCAACTCACCCCAATGTGACCTGACCTACCGCCTGCTACTCCCACCCTTCCTGAGCAAGGATCTGTACTCAGGCCCATTTCGTGTGCAGGCTTTATCATGTGAGCAAACATCTGCTGGCCTCTAAGGGAAGAGATCAGCACGTCACTCGTGACCACACCTGAACTCAGTTCTAGAGAGAGGAAAGGATAAGGTCACACAGCGCAGCCGCATATGCTATCCAGCATACCTGCCTTGTAGCCCCAGGCCCATTCCTGGTCAGGCGTTCGTTCAGGCCTCTGGCCACAGTCAGCAGCCGCCAAAGCCCAGTGGTAGCAACTCTGGCGTCTGGCGCAGTGGCAGGTAGGTGCCCTTACAGTGAAGGTGCTGCCGTGGGGTGCCAGCCCTTAGCTGTGTGTGGGGCGGGAGGAGGGTCTGCAGGGTCTGTAGAGGGTAAAGCCTGCAGAGACAGAAAGGCGGGGTGTAATTTTCAATAAATGGTGGTCTTTCCCAGTGGTTAGTGCTCTCACCTGCCATGCTGGGCGGGCATCTCTAGGTTCAGTTCAGAGTCCATGGTCTCTCTCACACCTGGCTATCGCACAGGCTATGGAGGCAGTAGGGCCAGTATGGCGAGGGAGATGGGCTATAATGAGCTATCACGAGACACGCATGTAGTCCTTCCGGGCTGGCCTCAGCATGTGAGGAACAAGCTCTGGGCAGAAGGCTGTGCATGGACTGACAGGAAGGAGCAGAAAATATCTAATCTGAGGCCAGCGTCAGTGAGCTAAAAGCCCCTCTTGTCTCCACAGCCGAGATGGCTTTCCTCTTTGATCTGAAAGCCCTGGTGGACATGATGTCCGTCGGCACTCTGCTGTCCTGCACCCTGGTGGCTATCTGTGTCCTTTTTCTCAGGTAATGGCCGAGGAGCAGTTCTGATGCGAGACGAGAAAGGGAGTGTCTATTCAGCACCATCATTGTCTTTACTTTCTTGCATGGCATGGACAATGGCAAGGGGCAAGGGCCTGGGCTGGTGTGTGGCTTTCAATACAGTATAGAATAAGCTTCCTCCATCCCCCACACCTCCCCATTTCCTTGCCCCTTCTTGCCTTTGCTCCAGGTTTTCGTGGCACAAGTTTGCCTCTGAGCAATTGTCACGAAATGCTGCACGAGGGGCAGCGGGTGGGGCGCAGTTAATGCCGGAGCTGTGGACCCCGTGGGTACGGGGACTAGAATTTTGATATGGGTCAGCTAGAGAGCCAAATGAGGGGCAGGAAAGCTGGAAAGCTAATGGTCAGACTGGTCAAGCAAAGAATTTAGCAGGATTCAAAGGGGGATTGGATATCAAGAATACCCAGCGTGATCCTAGTTAATGACAACAAGCATTTTGGAAGGGACATTATCCCACATCTGCCCATTGTGGGTTTGCTTGCACCTTCCTCTGAAGCGTCTGGTACCGGCCAATGTCAGAGCTATGGGCCTTGGGTCCGATCCAGCCAGGCATTTCCTACGTCCCTAAGTCCAGTGCTAAATGGCATGAGTTGCCCTCCCACACCCCTTTGCATGCTGCACTCTGCAAGGGCTGCCATGAGGTCAGACCGGGTAACAGCTTCCATCCAGATACTTCACACAGCGAGGCAGCCTTCTGGCAACCAGCCATGTCCTGTAGCCTCTCCTCCAGAAGTACCGGCCTGAATCCAGCACTCAGGACCCCTCAGATGGAAAGATCCCCGCCACAAGGCTCTGGATGAACTTCCTCATCCGCCCACCCGTGCGTCCAACTCAGTGCTCCTCCAGCCTGGTGTCGTATGCCGTGACACTAGCCGGTAAGTGCTGGGGCCCTAATACTGGGGATAGCACAGGGAAGTAGCCAGGCCTGGGTTTGGAGGATAGGGTGGCAGAACCAAGACTCAGCCACCTTAGGACAGAAAGGAGCACTGTGTCTGCTGAGAAGAACTGGCCCATCCAGGACAATAAGCCAAAAAGCCCTTCCTTTGCCCCACTCTCACTCCCAGCTGCGTTCCTGGAACAGCAGCTACATTGGCAAAGCACTTGGGGAGGTGGAGGGAGATCTGGTTTGGGGGTTTGGGGATATCTGGTCATTAGCCAGCCCCTTTTCACAAGCTGTTCATGGTCCAATTCCCAGCCATCCTGGTCTGCGCTGTGAGCATAGTGACCACAGCAGGGCTGGAGTGTCTCTCTTCTGGAGGAGCCTGGTGCATTGCCTGTCTGGTTCTCCTTCTGCTGGGGATCCTCGGTGTGTTGCTGGCCATCTGGAGGCAGCCTCAGAGCCAGAGGAAAGTGTCCTTCATGGTAAGCAAGAGCCAGAACATGACACTGGGGGACTTTCAACGTCCCACTCCCCACAAAGCAAACGAGAAACGGTGAGTGACCAGAGATGAGAGACCCTCCATGTTCATGCGTGAAAAGGCCCTCGCAGGCTTACGGTGTCTCATTAATGGCTTTGATATAGGGATGTTCACCCCATCTGAGCTCAAGATTGGCTGGACCTCTTCCATAGCTGTGTTAGACAGAGGTCCATGGAATGAGCCTGGGGTTCATTGGACTCTGCCATCGCAGAGCTGATAGAGTCATCAGTTTTAAGGTCAGGAGGAACCACTGTGATCATCACCTCCGGCATAACACAGGCCGGAGAATTTCGCCCAGTGATCCCTGCATTGCGCTTAATAACTTGTGGTTGAACTAGAGCATTTCTGTTAGAAAGAGACAGCCAGTTTCGATGTGAAATGCTGGAGAATCCACCTGATCCCTGGGTAAGCTACTCCATTGGGTAATTATCCTCAATGGTAAAAAATTGCACCTTGTTTCCAGTTACTGGGAGAGGCAAAGCAGATGTCAGCCTAATAATTGTTTCCCAAGCATCCATTTGAGATCAACCTTGGCAGTATTTACTAGGAACTTTGGATTCTAATTACCCAGCCCTTAGCTGTTCCTTTCATTCCCTGGAGTTGCTGCATATGTGCTACAAACCAATGCTCGCTCCCTTGCACATGCGTGTTCCCTACAGGTGCCTTGTCTGCCATTTCTGCCCCCTGTCAGCATCCTAGTCAACAGCTACCTGATGGCCAAGCTCAGCGGTGTCACCTGGCTGCGGTACATGGTGTGGATGGCGATTGGTAAGCCTCTCAGAGCTGGCTCTCAAAGACACTTCATAAGCCACAGCACTGGGCAAGTGAGAATGCTGTGTAGACAGCAAGAGACCTCCGCACTTGCTGCTGAGGCAGGGTTGTCCAGTGGTTGAGACAGAGGCATGTGGGTTAGGAGACTGTCATAGGGTGTCTGGCCTTTTAAGGGTTAAACTGAGGCCCAGCCCCACATCTGTCCGCTAAGGATCATTGTAAGGTGATTGTAAAAGTAGCAACATAGCCCAGATGGGCAGAGAGCTTCCAGGAGCAGCGAGGCTCCGGTAGCAAGCCCTTGGGCCCAGCGGGGAGCAAAGACTGAGAACTATGGGCCACAGGTTGATTCTCAAGGAAGTGAGAATGCAGAACATCCCAAAGTTCCTGCTCTCCAGCTGAGTGACCCACAAGCTACCCCCATAGATGCCCGTCTCTCCAGCCTTGAATGGATCCATTCTTGGGAGCTGGCAGGGAACTGAAACAGGATGTGTGTGGACCTTTTGCAGGGTAGAAGAAAGCTGCTGGCCATGTCTGTTTCTGGAGAGAGGAATGGTACCTTTTGGGAGGGCAGTGGCAGTTATGTGACCTCCGAAAGAAGGAAGAGGTCACCCTTCCCTGTTTTGCATGCTGCCAGGTCTCCTGATTTACTTTGGCTATGGGATCCGCCACAGCACCGAGAGACGTGGGGCCATAGGGATGTCTGCGCAGGAGAAGGCAGAGGGCACAGCAGGTGATGTGGATGCAGACACTAATACTTGAAAAAACTAACTCTGGGGAGCCCATGACTCTGAACAGCAGAGCCTCTCCGTAGAAGTACAGCCCGCCTCTGACCACAGCTGATTTCTCCCAGTTATTGAAACTGGTGTTTAAACAACCCCGCACCCTTCCTCTGATTGTACATGGGAATATTAGCCATATGGGAACATGCCCTGCTCTAGGTGGTGGTGGTGGTTGTCCTTTGGGTCACTGCTTTCTAGAATGGGGTAAATATCCAGGGACTCGTCATTTAGGCAATGGATCTCACCTCTTCTTCTTTTGGCAAGCTGGCTGCTGGAAACGGAGTGGGATTGTCTGGGGTTCATTCATTGTCCTGCAGTTCTGAAGAAGGAAACCCCTAGCAGGTTACCATGGTAACAGGCTCACTTCCCTCCCCAAGGGTCAGTTTGTCTGTTCACAAGGTCCCATCCGTAGGAGCTAGCTCAGGGATGAAACTCTCTCTAAGAGATTCCCCCCATCACCCTGTAGTAGTCATTGTTCCCTTCATGGAAAAGGCAGTGGGGTCTGTTAACAAGCATGTCAGCTCCCCAGGGATCCATGGGAAGCCAGGCCCCATCCACATAGAGGCCATGTTCCTCCACACCAGCCATACTCCAGTCCTGACAGCTTCCCCACCCCAGCTCCAATGGCATCACACTAATGGGGACCCCCTGGGCTGCAGCTGTCCATGTGGAGGAAGGGGTGTGCTCTGGGGCAAAGAAAATACAGCCCCTGGCTGCATTCTCTTTACTGGGGAAATTCCATGGGGCTGGTGGGGAGGACATGGGAGAGAGGAAGGAATGGAGTTGATGGCCATACTTGGCCTTCCCTTCCCATTCCTCTGTGCAGAACATGCACCTGTGAACTCCCTTTGTGTGTGTGGGGAGGGGGGTCGGGGAGGGGGGAGAGGGCATGCAGCTGTGGAAGTACCATGAAGGATGGGGAGAGTCACACATGGCAGGTTCCTTCCATGTTCTCCTTCCCACTAAATTCGAGAACAATTAAATTAAATGGTGGCAAATTCAAAACCAATGAAAGGAAATACTCTTGCACGCAACACATCATTAGATGGTGGAACTCACTGCCACAGGAAGGTCATTGAGGCCAAAATGCACACAGAAGGGATTGGACACTTGTATAGACAACCGGGATGTCTGGAGTTCTAATACTTAATGCTAGCATCAAGTTTGGACAAGACATCAAACCTTATTCTTCAGGGCTAATGCCATGCTCTAACTGCTAGGGATTAGGAGGGTTCTTTTACCTTCCTTTGACACCTCTGGTGCTGGCCTCCATCAGGGACAGGCTACTAGGCTAGATGGTCCTGGATCTGATCCAGGCTGGCGATTCCAATGTGAGGCTCTAAGTAGGGATGATCCAGGATTAAGTGTCCTTGCACCAAGCAGGTGCTGTTACACACTGACTCTGTGTGTGTGTGTAAATGGGCTGAGTCCTTACCCTACACTACCAAAACCCCACAAACTTTGTGTGAGGGCCCGAACTCTCCCCTCCTTCTGGCATCTCACCTTTATTGGCTGTCGAAACACCAATCACACAGCTTAAAGCACAGCCACACTATTGCCTCCAAGCTACGCTGTGACTGGTCTACACTGGGAACTCACATCGGCATGGCTACGTCTCTCAGGGTGTGAAAAAGCCACAGAATTCTTCCGGCGACCTGGATTAACTACAGCCGTGGGCAAACCCCGCCCATAGGTGTGGGGAGTGTCTACACTGAAGCGCTCTGGCAGCCCAGTTTCAAGTGTGGACAAGCCGTCAGACCCCTCGTTCCCTCTGCCTGGAGAGCCACGCCCAGGGTGCTGATCATCAGGGTGGGGCTGACGATGAGCCAGATCTGTCACAGTGAGTCAGCGGCAATCAGCATCTCCCTGTAGGCTCCCAACACCTGAGCGTGGGTTGGGGCCACAGACACTCCAGTCACACAATCGGCCATCTCGTCAGAGAGGGAGCACGGCTATCCGCAGCTTGTCCCGGAAGGCTGGTGCTGCACTTTGCAGCCTCTGGACCAGTGCTAGGAGCAGCTGCGTGGCTTCCCGACCTTCACCAGATTACACGTAGGACTGCTCCCTGGAGTGCAGGGGTGGGGGCAAAAAACCCAAGGGGAAAATCTTGGGGAAGCTGCATTTCTGGGCTGTCATGGGCCCAGGCTCTGCAGCTGCTTCACACGCAGAGCTCCCATGAACATCAAGAGCAGGCTTCGGTGTGTGGGGTGGCTACAGAACCCGGCCTGTCTGCCATTGTGCTAATAATGCAGTGACAAACCTTTGCCCTAGGGGGCAATGCTAGGCAGGGCTTACGATTCCAAGTGGGAGGAGACCTCTGGGTGCCATGTGGCCCTCATAGAATCATAGAATATCAGGATTGGAAGGGACCTCAGGAGGTCATCTCGTCCAACCCCCTGCTCAAAGCAGGACCAATCCCCAATTTATGCCACAAATCCCTAAATGGCCCCCTCAAGGATTGAACTCACAACCCTGGGTTTAGCAGGTCAATGCTCAAACCACTGAGCTATCCCTCCCCTCGTGCGTCGTCCCACAGGGAATTAAACTGCTGCTCTCCATGGAAGCTCAGAAACGGGGCTTCTCCAGCAAATATAGGTAAAAAGTCAACACTGAATATTTCCTCTGCCCCCAAGCGGCTCTAACCCTAACCCTAAATCTCCCCTAAACCACAGGGACACTCCACACCAGGTCCTGTCCCCCTTTAAGGCCCCGCAGCCCCCATGTCTAGTTAATATGTGCACCCATCCTCCAGGTTGCGGGGATGGCCTTCGGTCCACAAGTTTGCCCAGCATCCTGCAGAACTGTCCTACCATGGAGAGGCCACATGAATCAGGGCTTAATTTGTAATGGAAGAGCGGCCGGGGCAATGTTCCCTCTAATTTTTGACAGGCCGTGTGTGCAAAAAATGTCTTCTGTGCAAATTTTTGACAGGCCGTGTGCGCAAAACATTTCGTCTGTGCAAATTATTGTGCTTCTGTGCAAATTGTTGTGCGTGCGGTGTTTCGCCGTGTGCGCAGGGTTTAGGATCTGTGTGCACGCGCACGTGCGCACAGCTTAGAGGGGGCAGTGGCCGGGGCTCAAGCCATTGTTTTACATTCATAATGGATGCAGCAAACCCAGGGGTGCTGGGGCTCTGAACTGCCAGACCTAGTCCTGCGACTGTCTCATTGAGTTTCCTTGGGCTAGTCAATTCATCCCCTAGTACCTTGGCTTCCCCTGCTGCACAGTAGGGATGGTGCTTTGAGATCGGAGGATGAACAGGGCTGTGTTGGAGCTAAGTATTCTATTAATCCAGGCTGCTGGCCTGCATTGTGTTGCACTCTGTGACATGATCTTGCACTGAAACATTTACCCTTTAATACTGTGTATCAAAGGTAATAGCTGGAAGGGGAAGCAAACCGCAGGATTCAAGCAAGAAGCTCCCCTTCACCCACACTGTGTTATCACCATCATCGGGGTAGTTGGTACCCAGTGTCTTCCCTCGGGATTTGCACCCCATTGTACTAGGAGTTTGTTCAAACACTGGGGTAGAGCTGGCCCTTCCCCAAAGCGCTTTGCATCCAACCACTCCACCTGCCCCATAGCACAAAAGAACCAGACCGGGCACAGCCTGGAAATGAAGGAGGTGGGAACTGTTTTCTTTTTAAGCCTGGAGTGTGACTGCTGGAGCCAGGCTTTGAATAGCTCCATTCACCTCCTCTGAAGGAACCTGAATGCCTTCATGGCACGTGGGGGTGAAAGGAATTTTGTTTAACAAGGCAAAGAGTCAAGCCTTTGATTTGCTTTGAAACCTCTCCCCTTCATCTCCTGAGCCCCCCGGACTCTCCGTCCCCTCACGCGCCCCCTCCTCCCTCTCGGAGAGGACGTGAGAGTGTGGAATTGCTGCCGAGCTGGGAACGTTGCAGCTGCTGTAGCCCTCAGCCGCTCGCGCTGCAGCCCCACCTCAGCAGCGCAGCTCCCCGGTTTGTGCCCGGCTTGCCCCAGCATGAACTCCAAGGCCCTGGCTGCCCTGGGCTGCAGCCTTCTCCTCCTCATCTTGGGTAAGTCTTGCTTTTCTGACTCTTTCCCTTCCTCCTACTCATTTCCCAAGCCCATACGATTCCCTCCCTAGCAGGGTGCTCCTTGCATTCCTCAGTGGCCTACACAAGGATGCCTTGTTGGAGGGCAGCATGCTGGAAAGGCATGGCATGAAGACAGTCACTTATTGCCTGCAATACCAGCGGGAACTCAGGGACTGTGGCTGTACTGGGACTTGCTTCTGCCACTTTGGCAAGGCTGTGGTACTGGAGCAACTTTGCCAATGGGCCGCAGCCCCAATTATTTTGGCTTGAGTGTCATCAAGGGAAAGATCCCAGGTTTTGCTGGCTTTATGTCAGCATAAAAAGGAAGCTGGATGAGCTTCCCTTCAGACATGCATCAAGTACAGGAACCATCTCTTCCCTGGCCAGAGAAGGATACATAGGAGGGCTGTGAGCCAGGCTGATGGCTTGGCAGATTTGGGAGACCCACATTTAAGTTAGGACGCCTGATCTCTTGCTCTCTGCCAGGTGCATCCCAGATGTCCCGTGCTTGGGTGCATGTGGGGATGACAGGTAGGAGGCAAAAGCTACTTGCTACACAAATGCCTCCCAACATCAATGAACAGAGAACAGGCAAAACAGTGAGTGAACAGAGAGACCTCTTGTCTGCTCAGCTACCATATTTTCACAGCATCCTCCTCTGCCAATACCCAGAAGCAGCTTAGAGTAGGAAGACAAGTAACCCTACTAGGTAAAGCCTTGTCTTATACGGCACAGGGACCCTGCCAGTCATGTCCTTTGCATGGTGAGTAGGTAAGAATTTCCTTGGTAATGTTACCCTGCAAGAATTGCAGATTTCTGCCCCTTCTGGGGGGATATGACATTTGGGACCAGGTTTCCAGAACTGGTCTCTGATTTTGAACCCGCTATTGATTGTGGCCATTGTATCAGGCACACTCCC